TAGAGGGAGAGAGAGATAAAAACATCGGTGAGAGAGAACATCCATTGGCCGTCTCCCACATGACTCCCAATGGGGATTTGGCCCACAACCTGGGCATGTGCCCTGACCAGGAATCAAACCAGTGACCTCTTGGTGCATGGGTCAAGGCTCAACCACTGAGCCACACCAGTCAGGCCTGACACATAAAATTAACCACTGTAGTCTCATCCTACCTCATCCTATGAATAATTTGAGACATGCATACATTCTATAAAATGATACAAAAAGAAACTTGGAACCAGAACTAAAAAATCAAATTATCCCATTTCATAGGTAAATTAAATAGGCATAGAGGTTTTAACTGATTTGTTCAAAAGTTGATGACAGCCCTGGCCAGTTTGGCTCAGTAGTTAGAGCGTTGGCCTGTGGTCCAGGGAGACCTGGGTTCGGTTTCCACTGGGGGCACATACCTCGGTTGCAGTTTGTCCCCGGCCCTGGTTGGTTGTGCAGGTGGCAGCTACTCAATGTGTCCCTTTCACATCGATGTTTCCCTCTCTCTCTCTCTCTCTCTCTCCCCCCACACACACACTCTATCTGAACAAAAAAATGTAAAAATGTCCTCGGGTGAGGATAAAAAAAAAAAGTTGATGACAGACCAAGGCAGTGAGCATATCCTAATTCCCTTAGGGAAGCCCAGACTCTTGGCTCTTGACTCTGGACATTTTACACTGTGGAGAACTCACAATTATAATTCTGGATTTCCTTACTTTGAAAGTCATTACCTCTAATGGTTTGGGAGCAAATACAATGAATGTGCAAATAAAAATGTTCCTTAAGCCATGACAGCCTACTTTGTTCCCAACCAATGCACAAGCACCAGAAAGGGTTGAAGGTGACAATATTGAACTTTACCTGAGCTCTGTACTTTCAGAAAACAGTGACATTGAGAAATCCCCCACCCTTTTATATTCTGGGAAATGGTTTACCTAAAAAGACCACCATTTTTTTTTTTTTTTTTGGTGGTACGTGCCCCTAGCGGGAACCGAACCCAGACCTCTCTGGTCCACAGGCCAACACTCAACTGCTGAGCCAAACAGGCCAGGGCAAGACCACTATTCTTTATGTGACTTAGGTAAGACTAATTGTTGACTCCTTCTCACATCTCCCTTGTTTGCCTTTGATAAGGCCAAACACACATCTTTCTCCTTTTGCCTAAACCTGCTGACAAGGCCAGACTCTCCAGTTCCTCAGTCTTTGTCTCATGAATGATTAGCTAAAAGTAAAACTATTCACCTGAAACCAGCTAGACACAGAGATAAACATTTCCCGTTCAGTAACCTAAAGAGATTTCTCTTGATTAAAAACAACCTCACCTGTAAAATCCCCTGACCTGTAACTTGTCTACTCTTCATAAAATACTAGGGCAACACCACCCTGCCAAGAGATTTTTAACTTTGGATCTGGGGTGCTCTTCATATTGCAATAGACTGAGTAAGATCAATTTCCTTACTTGTTCAGGTTTTGTTTTGACAATAGCATCCACCAAAGGGATGAGAATAAAAAAACCAAGGTTAAAAAAAAGAGAGAGGGGAGAAAGAAAAGTGATTAAAGTCTACTGAGAGAGAGAGGTGACTCAGTCCCTTTCACAAGAAAAGGAAGGTGTAGTTTCCTCAGAGCTGATTCCTAAGTCATATACTGTGGCTCATTTAACCTGTACCTCTTCACCAGATTATTAAACCAGTACCCATTCAGCTTCAGGGAAGGGGACACAGTGAAGGAGCTCAATATAAGATTTCTGAATTGAAGTGAATGAAATATATTAAGTTCTTTAATGTTAATGAGGGGGGGAGGGGTAAAAGTTGAGGAAAAAAACAAAAGCAGCCCCTCACAAAAGCTGACCTGGCATTCATAGCTTTGCCATGTTAGACTACTGTTGAACATGAGCTCATAGAATACCAACATCAGACGTGGTCACCATGATAATGTGAGACAAAATAAGGCCACTTGATAATTTTATCTAAGCACAGACAAAAACAAAGCCACTGTGCCACACACATGTAGTACCAAACGTCCTTCTATCTTGGCTAAAATAAGTGACTGCTGCTTCTTTACCACTTTCAGCTTTTTCCCTGCTCTAGCCTGCCCTCCTTATACTTAAGATTTATTGAGCTGGCCAGTGGTAGACTTGCCCATTTTCTGACAGCATCCAGTCTAGAGAGAACCCTGCTTCCTTAGGCACTCCCCCAAATCATCCTCTTACCGAGAGGCCCCATGCTGCAACAAGTGATTAACTAACCTGTGTACTTTGATTGGAGGGCATTGACATGGCACTGTGGCTAAATACTTGAGTTTGTAGAGGGAGGCAAATGATTGCATGGCCAAAAAGCAAAAGCCATTGAAAGTGAGTCACCAAGGAATTAGAACTAATGTTTAATCTCAGCTAGGGAACTGGTTTATTGATAGGAAACAAGACCTCTCTGAATGGAGGGCTGTGATCAGGGGGCTCCAGGAACTGTGCACATTTTCATTCATTGTCTTTAGGAGGGAGTGGGGAATGAATCAACACCACAGAAACAACTTTTCAGATCCTATCTCTACATTCCCACCTTCTAGAACTTCAGGAGCTGGCTTCATGTTCATTATGTTCCCCAGACTACCCTGAAATCCAACAAGAGGGAAGTTATCTATGCACAAGGCCCATAAAACCAAGAATATTACAATTTTATAAATCCCTAATGAAATAACAGATCTGGAAAATGATCACCAATGGTTGTTAAAACCATTAGGTAAAATGTTATTTAAAACCTTAGTCTGTATCAGGTATGAAAATTACAAGATCCATGCTTGGTGATGAATTTACTGTTTCCCAATACCCATCCACATTCCTTACACAGTTTAGTTGGTACCCAATAATCAGAACTGAGACTACTTTCCTGGCCTCCCTGGCAGTTAGCTGTGGTCACAAGACTAAGTTCTGGTAAGTGAGATTAAGGCAAAAATGCATGATAGCTGCTACAGCCTTCCTGTCAACATGGCACTATTCAGCTTCATAGTTTCTTCAATCTGCTGCCTAGATTAGAACACAGACATCTTGGATCATGAGTCCAGGCTGTGCTTAGTGGCACAAGAGAAAAGACAACTGGGTCTTGGACACCTTCCCTGTCATTTTTACACAATGAAGTAAACTGGAGAAAGCAGGAAGCTCAGAGCTGGCCAAGCCTGGAGGAGGAAGGAGAGATGAGAGGGGAAGAGAGAGAGCTGAGAGGAGGGGAAGAGGGAAAAGAGAGGAAGGGGAAGAAAAGGTACAGGAGCAGACAGCAGAGGGTGAGGAGAGGAAGAGCAACAGGAATAGAAATCCTGGGAGGCTTCAGGGCCAGAACTTTTTGCTTCTGCTTGCCAGAACCTCAAGAGCAAGTTATATTTGAAACTATTAGTTATGACACTTTCTACTACAAATTACAGAAAATTCAAAATGATGGCAGTAATAAGGTAATGTGTTTACTGTCTCAGAAATGAAGTCCATAACTAAGATGGGCTCAGACGGGGCAGGTGTGGTACGGCTCCGGGTCCACACAGTGGCGACTGCAGCTTTAGGTATCATGTTCAGACAGAACACTGCTCAGAGGAAGAGATCCTTGTCCTATGTCTCTTTCTTTAAAGTCAGGAAACCTTTTCCCAGAAGCCTCCCTGCAGACTTCCTCTCCAGAGTCAGAACTAGATTTTACACCCATTACTAAAGCAGTCACAGGCAGAGAACAGGATTATCATGATCATAGTCCATTGATATTAACGAGACTATCTGTGGAACTGGGGAGGGGATGACCTTCCCCTGAGTCCTAGTGGGGAGGGACCGATACAGGAACCACTTTAGTTATGATGGTGCAGGTTGTACAGTACATAACTTCACTGGGGCCCATTCATATTCATTGTCGTTTACAAAGTTATGACAAATTTCCACCAGATGGCAGTAAAGTGCTTGGGAAAAGGACACCTTTTGAGTCACAAAGTCACAGGGAGCTGACAAAAATCAAAATTATGTTAGAAGGAAAGTGGGGATGAAAGTGGGAATTAGTGTGTGGTAGGTAGAGTTCTGAAATATAAAGTAAATAATCAAATTCATTGTAAACCTTTTAAAATTATATCTGCTAAATTCTATTTTAATGAAATAATCCATTCCAAGTTTAAGAAAAGTTTTTTAAATCTTTATTCAATTCAATGTAATTACATACTCTGAAAAAATAAAACTAGACAGACCAATATCATAAATTGAAGTAATTGTATAAAACCCACTGTCATTACCAACAAAAAGTTGAAAATAAGCCCTGGCCAGTTTGGTTCAGCAGTTAGAGCGTTGCCCTGCGGTCCTGAGACCCAGGCTCAGTTCCTACTAAGGGCACATACCTTGGTTGCAGTTTGTCACTGGTCTTCGTTGGGTTGTGCGGGTGGCAGCCACTCGATGTGTCCCTTTCACGTCAATGTTTCTGTCTCTCCCTCCCTCCCACTCTATCTGAACAAAAAATGGAAAAATGTCCTTGGGTGAGGATAAAAACAAAATTTTTTTTAAAAGTTGAAAATAAGCTATTAAGATTGATTTTTTTATAAGAGCAGTAGCATTTATACAGTAAAAGCCCTATCCACAGCTCTCACACATCACATGATTAAGGTATATAAAAAATTACACCTTGAGAAAAGATACCAATTGAATAGATGAAATATTGTCACTGGAGATTAATTACATTGTAAGACATGATTGATTTTAAGAAATCTGAGCTTTAAAGCATTCAAGTTCATTATTTCTGTAATGTGTCCACAAAAAGGGAAAATAGAAACAAAATTAAACTAGCAGAAAAAGGATAAATTTGGGAATACAGAGTAATGTGTCAGGAGAAATTTTTAAAGTTAGAGTGGAAGGGAAATAGGGAGAGAGAAAGAGAAACATGGATGTGAGAAAGACACATCGATTGGTTGCCTCCCCAACCAGGGCCGGAGATCAAACTCGCAACCCAGGCATGTGCCCTTGACGGGGAATGAAACCCCTGACCATTCGGGCTGCAGGCCGACGCTCTAACCACTGAGCAAACCAGCCAGGGCCCCACCACCTTCTCTTAATACCAAAGTGAAATTGTATAAATGATTACGTGATATAAAAATGCAAGAGTTTTCTTTGGATCAATTTACACTTTGGGTCAGTAATATATGCAACGTGTTCGATGAAATGGAATTCCTTTCATATCTTCTCTGTGATCACGGGCATAGTCCCATAAGTAATAATCCAAAAGAATGGAATTGATCTCTCCATTAGTTTTTTCACCCTTTTTTTCAATAAGCTCCAGAAGACAATCCCGGATCAGCTCAACACACCAAAGTGAGCACCCTCTGATTTCCACCTCTTGCCTATTCCCATTCGAGAGCATTTCTCCTGCAAGGGGAAAAACAGCAAGAAGCACTAAGAGTCAATGATAAGAAATCTACTTAGAACACTACTATAGAACAAAACACAGGTTAAAACTGTAAACCTCAGACTTTATTTATAATTTTTGGCAATTTGAACCATTTATAAACTCAGGCATTAATTCAAAATTGCAAATCAAGTTCCACAAGGACAAGGACGATGTCTGGTTTGTTTGTCTCAATATTCCTAGGACCTAGCATAGCACCTTGCACATACTACCTCCCCAATAAATATTTACTAAAAGAATAGAAGGTAACCATAAATTTAAAAGTGTGACAGCAAGATTATTAAACTATTGAAAAGAAAGGATTTAAAATTAGGTTTAATGTGGGGAAAAAATACTGCAAAATTTGGCAGACTCCTAGGGGGCCAAATAAACAGCATCCCCATCCCCACTTGAGAACTGAATACTGTTTTTGGAGACACTCCATATGCATCAAGGACAACCCAGGAAATCAAAGTGGTTAACTTGAGCCAGGAAAACCATGATCATTCTTTGGATTCAGGACCCTTTAGTCAGCTCTACCTGAATATGGAGCCGAGGCTCCCACAGGACCCGCAGGGTATATCTGATCCTACAGGGTGGGTACTGGCTGTGCTTTGACACTGACACTAGAGTTGGGCTCATCAACTCAAAAGCCTATAAGGATCAGGCAGATAGAGTAAGTGAATGCAGTAGCCAGATGCAAACTGTGGTGAGCTAGAGACTGTGTGCTGTCCTATCTAAAGGTAGACCCAGTGTTTCCATATTTCTCTACTTTTACAAGTCAGAAAGTTTGATTTTCATATGAAATCTCCTGTCAAATGTTGATAACTAATTAAAAATTGCTTAAAACACTGTTCAGGCCAAACAAAACACAATTGCAGGCTATAGTTGACCTTTGGTCACCAATCTTGCACAGAGCTTCACAGTACCAGATAGGCCCTGTGATCCAATGAGACTTAGGAAAAATGCCCCAGCCCCATTGGGTTCTTAAGTAATTTACTTATGTCCCCTTTACCCATCTTTCCCAAGGGCTTAGGCACTGGTTACTGGGGCAGGTAGAAGAACAGACAGTAGCTGTGCCCCTCTATTTCCGTACTTTGCTCCAGGTGCCAACATACAAATCCACTCCTTCCTCTTCAGTTCTCTTGTTAATCAATTCCTCCAAACTTAACCATCAGCTTGCCAGAATTCTCAAACCAACTATAGCAGTGATCTTGGAGGCTGACACCACCACCCAAGTAGAGCCATTAGATGACACCACTACCATAGCTGACAGCTTGACTGCCACCTTGACCCACAGGCTTTAAGCAGCACCCAGACTCTTGATCCCCAGAAACTATGAGATAATAAATGTCTTGGTTTAAGTCACTAAATTTTAGCATAATTTGTTACCCAGCAATAAATAAGTGTAAGGTATAATGTGTCCTCCAAAAAGATACATTCAAGTCCTAACTCTGCCCTGGCCAGTGTGGCTCAGTTGGTTGGGTGTTGTCCCATGCACCAAAAGGTTGCTGGTTCAATTCCCAGTCAGGGCATGTGCCTGGGTTGCGGGTTCAATCCCAAGTAGGGGGTGTGCAGAAGACAGCAGACTGATGCTTCACTCTCACATTATGTTTCTCTCTCTCTCTCCCTTCCTCTCTCTCTAAGATCAATTAAAATCCTCACCTGAGGACTTTTTTTTTGCATTTATCTTCAAATAGAGTGGGAGGGAGAGAGGGAGGAAGAGAGAGAGAGAAACATAGATGTGAGAGAGACACATAGAGTGGTTTTGCCACCCATACGACCCCAATTGGGGCTGTGACACACTGGAACCGAGGTATGTGCCCTTGGCGGGAAATGAACCCGGGACTCTCCAGTCTGCAGCCGATGCTCTAATTGCTGAGCCAAACTGGCTAGGGCCATATATATAAATATAACTATAACTATAACTATAAATATAAATAATATAAATATAAATATTATATATAAATATAAATAAATATAAATATATAATTTTTGTTGTTGTTGTTTTTAATTAATCCTCACCCAAGGATATTGTTCCATTGATTTTTAGATAGAGTGGAAAGGAGGGGTTGGGGAGAGAGAGAGAGAAGCATAGACGTGAGAAAGAAACATCGACTGGTTGCCTCTCGCATGACCCAACGGGGTCCAGGGATCAGACCTGCAACCCAGGTATGTGCCCTTGACCAAGAATCAAAACGGAGACCCTTTGGTCTGTAGGACAATGCTCTAACCACTGAGAAAACCGGCCAGGGCTAAAAATATATATATATTTTTAATCCATGACCTGGCTGGTTTGGCTCAGTGGTTAGGGCGTCGGCCCATGGACCAGAGAGACCTGGGTTCGGTTCCCACTAAGGGCATATGCCTCGGTTGCAGTTTGTCCCCCACCCTGGTTGGGGTCATGTGAGTGGCAACCACTTCATGTTTCTCTCTCTTTTTTTTTTTTTTTTATCCTCACCCGAGGACATTCTTCCATTTTTTGTTCAGATAGAGCGGGAGGGAGAGAGAGAGAGAGAAACATCGACGTGAAGGGACACATCGAGTGGCTGCCACCCGCACGACCAACCAGGGCCGGGGACAAACTGCAACCGAGGTACGTGCCCTTAGCAGGAACCGAACCCCGGTCTCTCTGTACCGCAGGCCGACACTCCAACCGCTGAGCCAAACCGGCCAGGGCCATGTTTCTCTCTCACATCGATGTTTCTCTCTCTCTCTTCCTCCTTCTCTCCCTCCAGCTCTATTTGAAGATAAACATAAAAATGTCCTCGGGTGAGGATTAAAAAAAAATCCTAACTCCTGGTACTTGTGAATGTGGTCTTATCTGTAAATTCTGTAAACAGGGTCTTTGCAGATATAATCATATTAACATGAGGTCATACAGGATTAAGGTGGGTCTTAAATGCTATGACTGGTATCCTTGTGAGAAAAGAAGAGGACACAAAGGAGAGGAGACACACAGAGAAGGCCATACTTGGAGTGATGCAGGTACAAGGCAAGGAATGCAAAGGATTGCTGGGAACCATCAAAAGCTAGAAGGAAGGAAGGACTCCTCTGAAGAGCCTTCAGAGGGAGTGCGGCCCTGCCAACATCTTGATTTCAGACTTTTAGCCTCCATAGCTATGAGAGAATAAATTTCTGCTGTTTTAAGCCATCCAGTTTGTGGTAATTTGTTAGGCCAGCCTTATGAAACTAATAAAGTTAACAGGTACAGCAACTTACAGTATGGGATAGGACATGGACTTTGAAAGAGAAAAATAATGAAACCATTTGAGAGAAATAACAAACATCGCAGCAGGGAAAATAATGTGACCAACATATTAGGTCTAAAACTCAACCCTAGAATCACAGTACAAAATCTAAATTTAGCCAGCTGGTGTGGCTCAGTGGACTGATGGGTTAAAGATAAAATAAACAGAAATCTGGCTAGGAGATATCCAGAAAAGGACAGAGTAAAAGAAATATAAGTGTAGCACATCCTCAAGTTTGGAAGAAGTATCATTGGAGGCCAGCTAAGGAAAGTTCTACCTCATCTAGTGAAGCCATCCTGTCTTAGATTTCACTCAAGATAGTTTTTTTTTAAAAAAAAGATAGTTTTTTTTTTAAATCAGTGCATATACCTTTACATTTACAGTTTCTGTTTCTCCTCTAGTTTGCTAATAAAGTACTTTTTGAAAAAAAAACCCAAAATCCAACTCTGTTTAAATAAACTAAGAGCAAAGAAGCTTGTTCACCCTATGTCAAGCTAGCAGAGTCTCCTTTTAGACACTGGACAAAATGGAGGCAGTGACAGCTGTGGATGGACATCTGGAAAGAGCGTCTGGAGACAAAATGAATGTGAGAAGAAAATTCAGACAGCTCTGTCCAACTATGCTGGATTGATCCCTTCTCACCAGGGTTTTTATCACAATAGCAGTGACAATTGAGTGCTATAAAACTTCAAGAGGAGATGGACAATCATGAAGAGTCAGGAAAAGCTGTTGAAGAGGAGCACTGGAGCTAAGCCTCTGCTGATGTCGGATTTAACTGAAAAAAAGAAAATTTGGATGAGGAAAACCAGGCAAGAAAATGTTTAGAGATAGGAATGAGCAGCATATACAATGGCCCAATAAAAAAGATCAGCTGAATATGTTTGTATGCAAAAGAAGCCCTGACTGCTAACAGTTGTCCCTTTTTTATTTTTAATTTTTTTTTCTTCATTGATTTTATAGAGAGAAGAAGGGAGAAGGAGAGAAAGATAGAAACATTGATGAGAAAGAACATCGACTGGCTGCCTCCTGCATGCCCCCTACTGGGGATTTGGCTGACAACGTGGGCATGTGCCCTGACCAGGAATCGAACTGGCAACATCTTGGTGCATGGGCGGACACTCAACCACTGAGCCACACCAGCCAAGCAACAGTTGTCACTTTTAAAGTTATCCAACAATTAATGACCTGGGACATGAGCATTACAACATAAAATGGCTTGTTATTTTTCAAATGAGGAAACCGAGGGACAAAGTACATTGCCCAAGGCAGCATAAAAACCTGGTAGAAGCAACCACAGGAATAAATGGTACCTTTATATTCTGTATTATTCTTATTTTTGGATATTGAAATCTGTTTCACAAGAGAAAATTATGCAATTATAAAAACTACTTTCTTTTAAAAACAAAGAAAAAAGGAGCTGAAATACTGCACCCAAAAGAGAAATTTTTAACATTAAAGTTACACAATATAATTTTTTCTTATACAAAGAAATGTTTAAAAAACAAAAAGCTAATTTTCTCACAAACACAATTATTTGTACTCATATGTTATAATAAGGTTTCCACTCTTGAGAATCAATAACTGGATCCAATAATGGTAAATAAATACACCTAGAAAAGTGAGTAACTGGAGCATTTGAGATCTTGCTCCCCAGCATGTCATAAGTTTGGCTCAAATAAACAAATAAACTCATAAAAATTCCACACAAGAAAAAAGAAAAAGAAAAGTGAGTGACTTGGCAAGATAACCCAGTGGCAGACCTTGGAGCCTCCAGACTCAAAATCTAGTACATACCACCTCTTAGGTCGCCTTTTATTTCACACTATAGTGTGCTATTCAGCTTAATTAACACTCTTCAAATACTACACCTGATGAACTGTCTTAGTGTTGCATGCCTTCATGTAACATAAATTTAGATTTTATTTTATTATGATGCTCTGAAATTATGTCTAAATAGTACAATTTCCCACAATATCCATAGTCCACAGTATAAACAACAAAAAGCAATTTTCTCCATATTTTAATTGTCCTTGCATTTTTTTCTTTACATATGTTTTTAACAATAAATAGTGATTTTTTCCTAAGGAAAGAGACCTTTTTGTGAAAAAAACTAGAGACTCAACAGTAAATCATAGTATAACAGAGAATATCTTAATTAAGCTGCCAAACCTTTGAGAAGCTTCTGCAGTAGTTCATCAGAGTATTTCAGTGCTCCCAGGTGAACAAGAACCTGAGGTAATCTATAGTCAGCAAACATGGTAATACTAGAGATGTCCTTAAAGCAGCCATCTCCTTCTCCCTCCAACACACTCCACGTGTCTGCCACAAGGATTTGGGCCCGTTTGTAAAAAGAAATTCTTTTCCCCTGATGAGTGAAGAGAGTATAAATGTTACCTGGGTATCTCAAAGCTTTATTAAATGCTATTTTTAAAAAAAGACATGTTGAAAATATTTTTCAAGGGGAGAATAATCTTACCCTGTTGTTAAGAATTTAGAAACCTCTTACAGAAAAGGGGGGGGGGGGTAATAAATATTAAATTATCTCTAGCACTCCAAATTTACCTCCTATATTTTTCAAGGCACATAAAATACAATTTATGTAATCATGGTACTATTTAGAGTTCTTTTCTGTGTGTTTTATTTGTTTATTTAACTTATCTTTATTGTTGATTGTATTGCAGATGCCCTCCCCCTTTTCCCCATTGATCCCTCCTCCCAGTCCTGCCCCCATCCTGTCTTCCCCACACTATTGTCTGTGTCCATTGGTTTTGCATATATGCATAGAAGTTCTTTGGTTTATCTCATCCCATCTTCCCTCCCACCTTCCCTTTGAGGTTCATCAGTCTAACAGCTAATTTGTACTTCTTAATTCCTTCATCTTTTTCACCCATCTCTCTAGCACCTTCTCAACTGGCAAGCAACAAAAGTTATTTGTATCTATGAGCCTGTTTCTGTTCTGCTTGTTCATTTTGTTTGTAGATTCAACTGTTGATAGATATGTATTAATTGCCCTTTTATTGTTCACATTTTTGTTCTTCTCCTTCAAGAAGACCCTTCAACATTTCATATAATTCTGGTTTGATGGTGATGAACTCTTTACATGTCCATTGATTCTAAATGATAGCTTTGCAGGATAGAGTAATCTTGGTTGTACGTGGTTACTTTTCACTACCTTGAGTATCTCTTGCCACTCCTTTCTGGCCTGCAAAGTTTCTTTTGAGAAATCAGCTGACAGTCTTACGGGAGCTTCTTTGCAGGTAATGAACTGCTTTTCTCTTGCTGTTTTTAAGATTCTCTCTGTCTTTAATCTTTGGCATTTTGATGATGATGTGTGTTGGTGTGGACCTCTCTGTGCTTCCTGGACTTGTATGTCTGTTTCCTTCACCAAGTTAGGGAAGTTTTCTGTCATTATTGTTTCAAATTGGTTTTCAATTTCTTGCTCTCTCTCTTCTCCATCTGGCACCCCCATGATGTGAATGTTGACATCCCTGAAGTTGTCCCAGGGGCTTCTTACATTATCCTCATTTTTTTTTTTTGGATTCTTTTTTCTTTTTGCTGTTCCAGTTGGGTGTTTTTTGCTTCCTTAAATTTCAATCAATGGTTTGTTTCTTGGCTTTACCTACTCTACTATTGATTCTCTGTAAATTCTTTTTTTTTTTTTAAAGGAAATGGGGACAGTGAAGAATTTTTTATATTTATTTATTTATTCCTTACTGATATTAGAGAGAGGGAGAGAGAGAGAGAAATATTGATGAGAGAGAACATCAACTGGCCACCTCTTGCATGCCCCCCACTGGGGATCGGGCCCACAACCTGGGCATGTGCCCTGACAGGGAATCGAACTGGTGGCCTCTTGGTGCACGGGTTGATGCTCAACCACTGAGCCACATCAGCTGGGTTACTTTGACCACCATTAAGAATGTTTTGCCCTGGCCGGTTTGGCTCAGCAGTTAGAGCATCAGCCCACAGACCAGAGTTCCAGGTTCCGTTCCCACTAAGGGCATGTACCTCGGTTGCAGTTTGTCCCTGGCCCCAGTTGGGGTCGTGTAGGTGGCAACCAGTCGATGTGTCTCTCTCACATCTATGTTTCTCTCTCTCTCTTGCCCCCTCTCTTTCTCACTCTCTGTGAAGATAAATGCAAAAATGTCCTTGGGTGAGGATTAAATAAATAAATAAATAAATAAAATAAACTGTCTATCAAAAACAATTATTGTAGTAAAACAATTTGGGCAAGTAATTATGGGATTGTACATCCAGGTACCAAAATACTGTGAAGCTATTAAAATTGGTACTACAAAAAAATTGTACTGTGAAAGAATTTTTATTGACATAGAAAGATGTTCATAATATGTTAAATTTTAAAAGTTTATACAGCATGATATTAATTCTCCCCTGTCTGTACATATACACATTCACACATACACAGAGAAAGAACAAATTGTAATTAGTTGTTACCTCTTAGAATAGAGACTGCTTCTCTGTACTTTACAAATTCTATAATATGTTTTACTTTTGCAATTAGAAATTTAAAATATATGGATAAAAAGATATATTTGATTTTAATACTTTCTGAATTTCAAAGCAGCCCCAAAATTGTTCATTAGAAGTCTTCCAGATTTGGAATTGCACAAGTACTTTAATTATTTGTGTATCTTTTACATGACTATGCAAAGATAAGTATAAACTGAGTAATCAAAGCAGTAAGTGAGCTTCATTACCTGCTCAGTGTTATGTTAGGAATCATAGGGGTTATAGAAATATAGTGCTTTGGGTAACACTAATGATAATCTTATTGAAAAAATATAATATTCCTTTAAAAAAGTGTTAAAACTCTTAACTATGACTTTTGTTATACTTTGGGGATTGTTCTATAAAAATGTATTTTAGAAATGACTACTGATGGGAAATGGTTCAGGTACTAATTTTCATTTAAAAATATATCAGCAACCTTAAAATTAGTCTATATCATAATACAGTTTTAAAATATTGAACTTTTCGCCCTGGCTGGTTTGGCTCAGCGGTTAGAGCGTCGGCCTGCGGTCCTAAGAGACCCGGGTTCGGTTCCCGCTAAGGGCACGTACCTCGGTTGCAGTTTGTCCCCGGCCCTGGTTGATTGTGCAGGTGGCAGCCACTCGATGTGTTCTTTCACATCGATGTTTCTCTCTCTCTCTCTCTGTTCCTCTCTCTCCCTCCCACTCTACCTGAACAAAAAAATGGAAAAATGTCCTCGGGTGAGGATTAAAAAAAAAAAAAAAAAATTGAACTTTTCAGCAAAGCAAATCAAAAGCACTATGGTGTAAATAAAACAGAAACTCAGCTTACTAAATTAATATTATAATCTACAAAAAAAATTCACTCCTTTCTTCCGCAAAAACAAAAACTCAGGACAATTTAAAAGTAAACAAATAGTCTGGCTGGTGTGGCTCACTGGTTGAGCATCAACCCATGCACCAAGAGGTTGCCAGTTTGATTCTCAGTCAGAACACATGCCCAGGTTGTAGCCCCAATCCCTAGTGCAGAGCATGCAGGAGGCAGCCAATTGATGTTCTCTCTCATCGATGTTTCTCTCTCTCTCTCTCCCTCTCACTTCCTCTTCTCTAAAATCAATAAAGGGGGGAAAAAAAAGTAAACAAATAGCCTGGCCAGTGTGGCTCAGTGGATTGAGTGTTGTCCCTTGTACCGAGAACTTGCTGGTTGCGGGCTTGATCCCCAGTAATGAGGTGTGCAGGAGGCAGCCAATCGATGTTTCTATCTCTTTCCCCCTCTCCCTTCCTCTTTATCTAAAAAAAAAAAAGAATAAAAATATATATATTTTTTAAAGTAAACACATAACATGGTGTCCTGAAGTCATGTTAAATTTAATTTTAGCCAATCTACTACAACCATGTGGATTCTGGAATATATAGATTCTTAGCCATATGAACAGCAGTTGGATTTCTTTTATACACTATTTAATAAAGGATGGGGCAAAAGTAGGTTTACAGTTGTTTGTATGGAAAATGATACAATAATTAATAAATAATAATGCAAGAATAAACTATTTCATGTACTCACGACTGTAAACCTACTTTTACCAACCCTATCTATTCAGATGGCCTAAATGATGGACCAAGGAACTGAATCCGTAATTTCTTTAAAAACAAGGCTGAGATAACATACTTTAAAGACAAAGATAAATCTCAAAGTAATCTCTGCATTATCAACAGTAAGCTGATCTATAGACTCTTTTCTAGGAACTGCATTCTGCCCCATCCACACACTCCTGCAAGCCACACCTAAACGGTCATAATCCCTGCCAGTTCAATCAGTCCTTGCCCAGGAGTTTTAGAACTAGAACCGAGAAAGTCTAAGAGGCGAACTTCATGGAGAAAGTTGGTCAACAGTGAGAGAAAAATGGAGACAACAGAAGCTAAAAGGAGAGACTGAATCTTGATGGCATTGAGTCCTTGACCCTGAATGTGCCTATCCCCAATACTATCCAAAAATTCTTCTTTTTGATTAAGTTTTCTCTATTCTTATATATGTCACTTGCAATTAAAAACAATCTTTACATGCATAATCATGCCGTCTCTCACTTTATAGCTAGCTATTGACTAAATGACATAAGATAAACTAGTTAAACTTTCTTTTTCAACTGGTTCCTACTGCAAACAGGACAATATGCCCCTTGTTCTCAGGCCCCACGGAAGTTGTTGTGTGGATCAAGTGAGAGCATATGAGCAAACACCCTATAAATCATAAAGGGCAATACTTTTGGTAATTTTAGTTGTTGAACTGTAACTACAAAAGGGTAGCTTTAACATCTGAATTGATGTAAGTGTTCATTAACTTAGGCAATAAGTGAACAGATTTATATTATGAGATTCTGCTGAAATTGCTTTCAATTCTTGTCACAGTTAAAACACACAGTGATAACAGATTCTAAAAATTTTACAAAAACATAATCCAGGAGTACACTGGCAGGATATACAATATGCTCACTATTTTAAAAGTAAATTTCTTTAAAATAGTTTGTGCCATAAAGCAAATAATACTGTCAAAGGTACCCTGTGCATGAAAAGGAAAAACAAATAGTATATATACATTAGAACTCTGCAAAAAATACTTTTTACGAGAGAGAATTTAGTATACATTCTGATTTTCATCCAATGAAGTAAATTTTTGAAGTATTAAAAGAACCTCCTTGTCCCTAAGTGACAACATCATGTTGAAGGTCCAGTGTTTTATTTAGGCTTGAAGCATTTTTAAAGGACAGTGAGAAAAGTACAAAGAATAAAGGGAATATACTGATTAGAAATCATTAGAAAAGTAATGTCTTCGAAACACTACTTTTGATACTATTCCTTGTCCACAGGAAAAAACTTCAAAATTTAAGTTTTTATTCTCAAAAAGAGTTCCAGAAGTAAACGACCTAATAACTAAAAGAGCAGACAATAAAAAGATAAAGAATTGTAAAATCTCCAACAGAAGTAACTCACCTCAAATTCAGTCACATCTCTGTAAGAGGGAAAGCTTTCAACTACCAGTTGCATTAACTGCTGTGCACTTTTTTCACTTTTTCGGACACAATTAAGAAAAGAGCCTTCAAACTTCTCAAGTAAAATTTTCCCAGTTTCATTGAGAATCCGATGCCTCTCTTCTATCAAAGGCATGGGAACATCCGTGTCAGAACGGAGTATATGCCGAACCTGATCCAGGGTCACTGTGGCATAGTACGAAGCACTAGTTATTGGTATCCCTTTGGGAGGAAAAGAAAACGCAGAGGAACAATGTCATACTTTTATATTCACTAGTCCCTTTCTTTTACAACAGTTAATATGAAACTAAATGAGTGTTACGGGAATGAACTAAAAGTGGATGAATCATGAAAAATCAGAGCAGCCCCCTCATTTTCTATTTGCCCATCTGTACTTATTCATTCATTTCTAACAAATGTAATATTACATCAGGTGTATTTTGACTGTGTAACATGTGTTATGTGTCTGTCCCCTTTGTTCTCAAGAGTTCATCAGACTGGCTTTTATACTTAGCTGCGATATTGGAATCAGTTCCCACTGAATAAGGATTTAATGCCAGTCTTTTATTCTTTTACTTTAAGCCGAGGGGCTAGCAATGCAAAACTTCAAGTTCGCCTTACTAACATATTACTCCGTCTTCCCATCCGCTCCCTGGGGCCCTCCCGGGGAACTGAAGCCTCCAAGGCGGCAGGGTCGGACCGGCAGGAGGGGCACCAACCTTCGTCCAGGGCTCTGTTGATCGCGGCGCACAGGGACCAGTACCCACTGTACATTCTCCCCCTGTACCCCACCAGACATTTGTGCTCATCATGCTCCGACCAGAAGGAGAAGTTGAGTGTGTCTGCAACGAACACCCAGTTGACCGCGGCCTCGTCGGCCGCCCTGGGGTTCAGCTCGTGAAGGGCCTTCCAGCCTCCCAGGCGCAGCTCCGGCCCCGAGGCCTTGGCGAGCAGTAGCTCGGCCACCCTCCGCACGCCCGCGTCGTCGATGAACACATCTCGACTGTTTTCCGCGATGAACTTTGCGGACTCCCTGGGAGTTAGGAGCCCGACCATCCTCCCTCCTTCTTGGGGCTAGCGGACGACACTTTCTCCAGCGGGCCAGCCCACTGAGAGCCGCCGCCTGCGCGCGCGCACACACACGCTCACGCGCGGGCGGGCGGGGAACTACGGAGACCGTGCGGCCGAGCGCCCCTTTACAGCCGCAGGCACTTCCGGGACAACGGCCCCGCCTCCTCTCTCCCGGGCGCGCTCCCGGAGTCCGTTTCCGATTCCGCAGGTCCAGAAACCGCCTGGACGGGCCAAGCGCGCGCCGGCCGGGAGTGGCCCGCCCTAAGCCCTGCGGCTGCGCCATTTTGTCTGTGCTCCCACCCTCCCCTCGGGCGGTGGACTGCGCCGCGCATCCGCGGCCGCAGTCCCGCTGACTCCAGTCCGGGCGCTGCATTTCCTTCCCGTGGTTTCCGCGTCTTCTTTCTCCCGGGGCCAAGTCGGCTGAACGCCCTCCGCGACGCCCAGCTGCCGGATTCTGGGGCCGCGAAGAGCATTCTGGCCTCTGGACTCCGTGCGGAGGGCCGAGCCACCCCCAGACCGGGACACGGGTCGACGGTCCCCCTATCCCCATCCCCAGTCTTGCTCGTGACGAAAGCAACGATCATAATCCCCATTTTGCAGGAGCAGCTAAGTGATTGAGTGGTTAACCCCTAGTCACAGAATGGCCTGGGACTTGAACCCTTGTTCACTGATCCCCCGGGGAAAGAGCACTTTCTGCAAGCCAGGCTACTCAATGGGAACTGGTACTGTCAAGTAGTGACTCATTAATGGCCCTGCTGAGAGACAGCGGAAATAAGTACTACCTTGCAGCCCCCAATTTTTTAAACAACACTTTTTTTCATAGGATGAAGAGAGTTACAGGATTCAATTTAGTGGTGATTCAAATTTGACTAGTGACGAAAATTTCTGTATAGAGGCATATTCTTTTTTCTTCTTTGCAAACAAATTTCCATGGATAATATAAAATGTTTACACCTTTGAAAATCAACTATTTTTAAAAATCAGTAGTCATCTCTAGTTATTGACAGTAAAGAACCTTGGACTTTTGGGATATTTTGGAACTTTTAAGTTTGACAACTGCTCCTAGAGAAGCAGAACATCATCTCTCCGGTTTCTTCATTTTGGTAAGAAAAAGGAACTTTCAGGACTTCACTATGCTTTACTTTTCCAGAAAAAGTCACTAATACAGTTGTTGAATAAATGTGAATCTGTGAATTTGGAATTTTTCCTGTGTACCCCAGCAACTCTAAGTCTTGGGAGTCAAAGAAATTGATTAGCAAGAAAATCTAGCAATCTACAAAAGAGTATAGGAAGCTAAATAAGTTAGGCCATTTTCTCTCACTAAGGCTTATTGACACCCCCCCCCCCAATCAACACTTTGAATCCCTACTATGTTCAGGATTGAGTTAAACACTAGGAGTAGTATAAACACGAGTAAAACACTTCCTTCACTCAAGAAACTTATTGTTGAGATGAAGCATAAACTTGATGTTTTTTTTTCTTAAGTATGTCTAAAAAATGCTGGGAATACAAAAAGTGAACTCTTGCCCAGCCAGTGTGGCTCAGTGGTTGGGCGTTGACCCAAGCACCAAGAGGTCACCGGTTCGATTCCCCGTCGGGGCTCATGCCCAGGTTGTGGGCCAGATCCCCAGCTAGGGGCTTGCAGGAGGCGGCCAGTCAATGAGGATGTTCTCTTTCATCGATGGTTCCATCTCTCTGTCCCTCTCCCTTCCTCTCTCTCGAAAAGCAATAAAGAAAAAAAAAATTGAAAAACAAAAATTGAACTCTTTACCTACTCAACATCCTTTCCCTCCTTCCTGTCCAACAGAACCCTGATGTTGTTCAGGAATCCCTCCCTCTTTTTTTTTTTTTTTTGGTACGTGCCCCTAGCGGAAATAGAACCCAGGACTCTCTGGTCCGCAGGCCGATGATCCAACCGCTGAGCCAAACCAGCCAGGGAATGGAATCCCTCCCTCTTAACCCATAGTTGGTGTAGCTCAGTCTCCTCAGCTCCAGGGGTGGTCTGGACTGGCCTAAGGATAACAGCACCCTCTTACCAGGCATTGGATTAGGATCATGCATGTACCCCATTTCAATGAAGTTGCAAAGATAGGTTTTTCAGGATGCTTTCAGAAAAGCTTTACCAGGGCAACTTCCAGAAGTGATTCACGTGTTCCCACTGGACACATTGAGCTTTGATATAAGGCTTGAAATTACTACAGTGTTTTTGATGGCAACCTGAGTATATGAAATAACACACAGGGGAGGTCAAAAGAATAGAAGAGAAATGGAACGCGGCAATGGGATCACGTCAACTCTTAGGTCTGTCCTACTTCTGGGTCTCCAGTTATGTGAGTTAACAAACTTCCTTATAGTTTAAAGGAGTTTTGAGTTGGGTTTTCTGTCTTACACAGGTAGCAAATACAGACATGGTATCTGACATGTTCTAGTGGGGAAGGCAGACAATCAAATGTCTGGATGGAACTGTACTTCATGAAACAGAAAACCAGACTAATGACTAAACAAAAGGGATTGTTTTTCTCATTTAATAAATCTAGAGGTATAGGCACTCCAAGGCTGGTGCAAGGAACTAGATTCCTTGCTTTATGTCTCACTATATCTACAATGTGTCTTCTGTCTTTATCGTTGTAAGATGGCTTTACCCTTATAAGCATTGTGTTCTCAGAAAAAAATGAGGAAAGTAAAAGCAAAGGCCAAAGGAACGTGCCAGCTGAGCTAGCTTGCTTGCTTGCTTGCTTGCTTCCTTCCTCCCCTCCTTCCTTCCTTCCTTTCTTTTTTTAGAGAGAGGAAGGAAGAAACAAACATTGATATGAGAGAGAAACATCAATCGGATGCCTCCCACACACACTCCAACCAGGAATCAAACCCACAGCCTGGGTATGTGCCCTGACCAGGAATCAAAACCACCACATTTTGATGTATGGCACGACTCCAAACAACTGAACCACACTGGCCACTTATGTTTCTTTTGAAAACCTTTGCCAGAGCTTCACCCCATAGGCATAGGCTTTTGAAGAGAAGATCAAGATGACTTCCAAATAGTTCCTAATATTATATTTTAAAGGTTAACAAAGGAGGTAGGCGTGATCAGTGATGTTGTGTCACTATCATTTCCCCCTCCTGAACAGAATCCGGGTTAGTATCCAGGTCATCAAGGGAGCTGTTATTCTGAATAGCTAAATTAAATGTCAAGCATTGGCAATAATCATTGCTACATCTGCTATTTTCTGTCATTATAGGCTATCACAGATAAAGAAATTGTGGGTTAAGCCTGGCCTGTTTGGCTCAGCGGTTAGAGTGTTGGCCGGAGGATCAAAGGGTCTCGAGTTTGATTTCCAGTCAAGGGCACATACCTGGGTTGCAGGTTCTATCCCCAGCCCCAGTCTGGGTTGTGCAGGAGGCAACCAGTCGATCTCACATCGATATTTCTCTCTCCCTCTTCCCTCTCTCTCCCTCCCGCTCTATCTGAAGATACATGTAAAAAGACGTCCTCGGGTCAGGATAAAGAAGTAAAAAAAAAAAAAAAAAAAAATCAATGGAAAAATATCCTTGGGTGAGGATTAAGGATTAACAAAAAAAAGAAAAAAGAAATAGTGGGTTAAGATGTATTCTTGAGGAAAAGTTCCAAAAGTTGGCTAGAGCAGATTTTCAACCAGTGTGCTGTTAGAATTTTTAAAACATGTAATACCTCACTATTTAGTCAGGGACACTGACCTCTTTTCCCTTAGACGGTCAAATTAAGAAATGACAACAGCCAATACAATAGCTGTCTGGGGTGAATAGATTAAAATTATACCTTTTTTTTTTTTTTTTTTTTTTTTTTTTGTCAGATGGGCAAAAGATAAAATATATTTTGTTTGGTGTGCTGCAGAATTTTAGTAATTAGTTTATGTGTGCCATGAGATTAAACAGGTTGAAAATCGCTGGGCTTGAGCAAGGGATGGACAATGGACATTGCTAGAGAAGAGGCTGTAGTTTATCATATATGCAGGAAAAAGAAAGTAGAAAAGTAAAATGGATTTTGTGAAGGTAGGGCATCTCAATTATTTTCATTTTCTCCAACTTTCCCAAAGTAATCAATAAACTAAAGCCTCAAGAAGGCTTAGCAGAAAAGATATGTTTCACTACTGTGTAAGTTTTCCGTTTCTTTTCTCCTTGATTTATTTATATATATAGCATTTAAAATTGACCACTTCCTGAAATTGACTCTTGATTACTAGAACATTGTATTATCCTAGTTTTCTTAGTAGCATGGGAGGCTCTTTTCCTTTCTACTCTCTTACTGTGTATAAAATGTCCCATCTGTAGGCTATGGCTTAGGGACAGACTAAACGCTTTCTGGTGAAAACTCTGACTCTTAAATACTTCTATTTATGTTTTAAAATATTTTATTATAATAGAATAAATATATTTTCACTGTTATATATTATAAGCATTATTACTAGAGTTCAAAACTAATTAGAATTTTTTGAATCACAATTTGCTTTTCACTAATGAAATTAATATTTTCTACTTAGAGGGAAGAACTAAATATTATTTAAAAAAACAGTACAGGGGTTCCAGTTTGGTGAACATGTAGAGATTCAGGGAGAATGATCCGTTCAGAAAGCAAGGAAGATTTGTGCCCCTTCCCACATACTTTGCCCTATATTTCTCTTCCATCTGGCTGTTCCTGAATTACATCCTTTTATTTATTTAAAAAACAAATTTTGTTTTCTTTATTCATTTTAGAGAGAGAGGAAGGGAGAAGAGAGAGAGAGAAACATCGATGAGAGAGAACATCAATTGGCCGCCTCCTGTATGCCCCCTACTGGGGATCGGGCCCACAACCTGGGCATGTGCCCTAACCAAGAATCACACTGGCGACCTCTTGGTGCATGGGTCAGTGCTCAACCACTGAGCCACACAGGCCAGGCGAGTTATATCTTTCTATAATAAGTCATTAATCTACAGGGTTGGGCAGAAGTAGGTTTACAGTTGTTCGTATGAAAAATAACACAATAATTAGTAAATAATAATACAAGAATAAACTCATGTATTCACGACTGTAAACCTCCT